CTGAATACCAAGCTTCCAAGAATTCTCTTGCACTAAAATGGTGACAGTTTCCCAGTTAAAACTATGGTTAAGTCTGTCCATGTGTTGTGAGATTAAGTTTTCATCTGAAAACTGAACACTGTTTTGAAGGAGGAGTAGACCTCTTCTACCCAGGCAGTGATTTTAAACTTAGAAAGAGAATCAGGTTTTGCCAGTTATGCATTGCTGGTTCTGCTACTGCCAAAAAATACTGACCATATTTTTATTGCTTTTATCCCTTGGGGGGGATGTTTGGAGGGTGTCATTCGGCCTATTTCACAGGTTACCTCCAGATACCAGTGCCCACAATCAGTCTCTGCAAGGACTGCAGCTCTCTTGCAGTACAACTCCAAGACTGACTTGCTTGTTATTGACAGTTTCTTCTTGCTTTGCCCTGCACCCCTCCTCCACATCTGTTAGCCTGGTTGACAAGTCATAGCCATGGAGAAAGAATAGGAGAGATCCCCTTGTTCCCTTTCTGTGCCTGTCAGCTGGAATATTTCTGAACACTCTTCTGAAAGACTGTATCCTCTGAAAGCGGTGCACCAAGAGAGCTCCCTCCTGGTTCACCTCTGCACCCCTCTTCCATGCCCGTGACTGTCAATTGAGCTATTTTTGGACAGGGGTTTAGTACTCTTTCAGAAAAGTGTCGGGCCCACATCCAAAAATACCCCAACTGATAGGTCACAGGCACAGAAGATCTTGCCCAACCCCTCCCACCACATGTTGAGAACATCGCATTTATTAACCCACAGGTTCCCCACAGGAATATTTGCAAAAAACAGCAAAGATACCAACCTTCCAGTTATTAGAATTCAAAATTCAACTGCAAGAGATAAGACAGCAATCCTAGCAGCTAGCAGCTAAATCCTAGCAGCTAAAATAGTACAGAACACACAAAACACTCATTCTGTCTGGAACAGCCACTTTTCAGCTTCTGCTGGAATACAATGACCCCATTCGGGATTCTGTCTGGGAGAAACATCCAAAACCATGCGTGTTTTTTCTATGCACAAACTATCCCAAACCAGTTCTTCCATGCACAGAACATTTTGCACATCCTTACTTCATAGTTACAATAAATGTTAAAAATTAAGCATTGTATATATTTTAATTAAACCGCCCAGAGTCACTCTACAGTGAGATGGGCGGTGACAAATTTGAAATATAAATAAATAAGTAAATTTCCCCAAAAATTCCTTTAAAAAAAACAATTTTTGTTTCAAAGTTTCCAGAATTTTTGTATTTCTTGGATAGACTGGAATCCAGAAATCATCTGAACAGTACAGTAAATATTTACTGAAGCCTATCAGCAAGGTAACAGTGATCTCTGTTCTAAACAAGAGTCAAAGGTTTTTGCACAACCTCGTCTGCAGACAGAGCGTGATCCACTAGCCCTCTATAGGTGGGCATGCTCCACACAGTACAGGTTACAGGTTTCACAGCATAAAAAGTACTTGTTTTACATTGTACAGTAGCACTTAGCAGCTGCTACATAGTCTTAGTATAGCCTCTAAACTACGAGATTCTCCAGAATGAGAGGAAATAATCATTTGGTTGAGTTTCATAGCCCACCACTAGTATGTGATTCACTTCCCAATTTTTTTTAAATCAGTGTATTGACAGGACCACTTCTCCATTTCAATAAAGAAAGATCACTCCAAAAATAAATAAGAAAGTTATGGGGATAGCAACCGTACATCCTCTTTTCTAGTGCTGTACCTCATCCCTCCTCCTTGCTCTTCATGGCTCCTGAAAGTTGCATCACTGAATATCAGCTGGGGTTACTGCTGAGCTAGTTCTAGGGAGGCAAGAGACCTCTAATAGTTCAAACTCACCGGAAAACAGGAAATGGAGGTTGCTGCCTGGAACGGCTGCTCCATAACTCAGCTGCCTCTTCTTGTATCACAAAATCTGTCAATTCGGAGTAGAGGGACTGAAAATGTTTCATTTCAGCATAAGAACGATACTGTCCTGTCTGATGACAAAAGGATGACATTGCCCTTTTATTAAATGCCTTTCCATATGTCCAAGGAGTTTGCCACCATTTGCCAACCTCCCCCCCAAAAAAATTGTGAAGCTACCTTGATCAAGAGAGGCTGCCCTTGCAGGATTTTTTCCGATAGCTGCCTAAGGTCAACTGGAGCCACAAGGGTTTTCATGGAACAGCAGCAAGAGCACTTCGCAGTTAGAGACATATTCTGTCTACAGTCTAAGCCCCACCACTCTGGACATTCTTTGGAGAAGGACAGAAGAGATTTATGAACTTTATTCAAAATTTCACTTAAGCAAATAGGAACAGATTCCAATCATTAGCACTTCATTGTTAACCCTGCTATGGAGTATCAGGTAATTACCAATATTTTCCAAGACTAATTCATGAAGGAAAAACCTTTAATCTCAATATGGGCCACATCAGAAACAAGCCATATTTCATAATCTACTTTCCAGTTGCGCTTAGAATTTGGTAACCTCTGATAATGCTGGATCCTTGATAAAGGAAGGAAGGAAGGAAGGAAGGAAGGAAGGAAGGAAGGAAGGAAGGAAGGAAGGAAGGAA